CATTTAGAATACCGTGAAATGGGGTAACTTAGACCGGCGGGGTAACTTAGACCACTTTTTGTTTTTTTTTACAAAAACCCCCACAACTCAAAAACTATTTGACGTAGAAAAATTTTGTCAATGGGCATTAAAGGCCTAATAACACAATAGAAAGATTCAAAAAGTTTGCATATCTAATAGGTTAAAAAATTAAAAATGTGACCCACGAAAAAAAGCTATTTTTTGAAGCCTGTCAGAGTACCCCCTCCAGTTTTTTTATTTTTTGTTTAAATAGCTCCAGGTTTTGATGCCTTGTAGTTGAACTCTTCTAGTTACATATGCAAATGACAAATTTTAGAAGTGTCATAGTTTGCAAATGGGGGGCGCTGCCCCCAAATGGGGTAACTTAGACCACCTAATGTCAGCCCTGATGGGGTAACATAGACCGGCTTGGAAGTTAATATAAAATTACCATATATAACATATTTTATGTTTGACAGCCTATTTATGTTTTTTCTTTATGTTTCAGACTCTACAGAGTCTTATATATGGTAATTTTAACTTAATTTCCAAGCCAGTCAATATTACCCCATCAGGGCTGCCATTAGGTAGTCACATTTCCCTCATTATGGGGTGGCACCCCCCATTTGCAAACTATGACACTTTCCTCAAGTTTGTCATTTGCATATGTAACTAGAAGAGTTCTACTACAATGCACCAAAACCTGGAGTTATTTGGAGTTATTTTACCAAAAAAAATAATTGATTTTACCACCCGGTCTAAGTTACCCCAAGAGCTGGGGTAACAAAGACCATCACTTTTTTTGAAATTACATAAAGACTATGAGAGGCAGGAGCCAGCAATTTATGGTGAGTGAAGCTAGAGTATAGACCTGTATTTTGCATGTTTCAATTCAAGTTTAATTTAGCTAGTGAGAAAATGGCATCATTTATAAGAAAAAAAGTGGTCTAAGTTACCCCATTTTACGGTACTTATGTTTTGAAAACAATATCTGGAGGATGGCGGCTGTTAGCTGAGACACACTGTTGGAGTCATTCTCAGAGGAGGGAATAACCATGACAGTGAATTCCGATCGCTATGCTACAATATTGCAAAATTTCTTGCAGCACAGGATGGAAAACATTGTTGAAAATGAAGCATTGGGTGACATGTGGTTCCAGCAGGATGGGATACAGCTCACACAGCCCGAATGTCACTCAATGTTTTGAAACGCATGTTTCCTGGAAGTCTGGTGTCTCTGATGGGTGATTTACAGTGGCCTGCGAGGTCACCTGATTTGAGCATTTGCGATTTCTTTCTTTAGGGACATCTAAAAGAAAAAGTTCACAAGTTGCCCTCACACCCTACCACAGCTAAGGGAATGGATTATTGCAGCAGAGGTTATGTCCATACCGCGCCATATGTGTGAACGTGCTGTAGGAAACTTCTGAGAATGACTCCAACAGTGTGATGCAGCTAACAGACATCATCTACCTGATACTGTCTTCAAAACATAAAGATTTAAAATAGTATGTTATGCTAATCTCGTGGAAAATAAACTTTCTTCTTTATGTACCTCCATTATTCTTTTATTTTGCCTCAAATATGCTCAATTGGTTCTACCCCACCCTGTATAAGCTAGCTAACACATTTAAATTGCATATTGTAATCAATATATAACAAATAGTCAAATAGTTGAAGCCTATTTGTAGCCTTATAAGAATTTGCTAAGCTGCTAGCTATGTACAATGTATTGCAACACTTGATGCCTCTGTACCAAAAACATTCAATTAATTGGAACCTAATTCACACTAAAGGCAACAGGTTTATAAACCAATTTGTCATTCATAGTACATTTATTAAAATATTAAACCATGAATAACAATACCTCAAAATAAATTAATGATTGCCACTCAATATATTTAAATATATAAAAAAAAATTTTTTGATTTTTTATAAAAAAAATCAAATGATATCACATGATTTATTCAATGCCAACCCTGCTCAGTACTCACTGCAGTAAGTGACAGAGAGCACATTTTCTCTTATCAACAAAAATGTGAAGTCATGGATGGACGGACAGACGGACATGGCAAGCACAATAGTGCATTATTTTCATAAATGAGAAAATACACTGAAAACAATCAAGCTGAGATGACAAAACTGCTTGATGCATCCACTTTCTAAGAGGCTGAATTAAAAAACCAAAATAGATGAGGGAGGGGTATATGAGACTGATGAAGCTGGCACTACTGCCACTAAAATGAAGTCAAATAAACATTAGACTAGTCTGAGGCCAAAAAGTCTAGCAGGCCTAAATGCTGTGGCATTGACATAGGTATAAAGACCAGGCTGGAATTCTAGGATAGTGGGCAGATGCATGTCCATCTCCAGACTGATTGGTTGTGATGTCATCCTCTCCAGACTCTTATAGCTTGTGTCTAATATGTTTTGTTAACTGGTTAATTTAATACCACTCTGGAATTCTAGCCAGGGAAAGACTGTCCACAATCAACGGGATAGCTTTAGCAGAACAGTCAAGCCTCCCATTGTCATGGTGGAGGACAGTAAGATTGGATCTCTTTTTCCCCATTGGGGAAAAGTCTGTGTAAATGAGGCTGGAAGTGATATTGTATGCTTGAGAGGGGGCAAATATTGTCGAAATAGAAGTAAAACAAAAATCTGAAAGCTCAAATGACTGTTTACTCATTATTCAGAGTGGTGGCATTGGCCCAAGAGAAATTATGGTGGATAAAACTGTTAAAGAAATCATAAGCACAACCAGGCAGTCATGTGATAAAAAACTGGTAGTGTAGAGGTGGATATTCTGAGGCTTTGGCATGTACGAGCCACTGAGAAAAAAAGTAAATTAAAAAGAGTTCTAGAGGTTAATAAAAATGAAAGTTGAATATATAACTTATAAGAGAAAATGGGTAACGAATAACTTATATTTACACAGACTGCATGAAGAAACGTATGTAGGTATAGAATAGGTGGAGTGCTCCTGAACAATGAGGGAGCAGTGTTTGGACAAAAGGCAAGATGATAGGTGCATATAAGTTGTATGCATGGTCGCTTTTCTAGTGTGGTCCCACATAGAGTGACTCTCTGTGGGAGTGAATGTGATTAGCCCTAATAAAATAAATTTATGTGAGTAGGTTGAAAGAATGTGAGAGGGTTATGATTGGATAATATGCAGATGTACCTATGCAAGGAGCTATAGGAATAGCATATAGATGTGGTGGCTGTTACAGGAACGCATCTGAAAGGTGGTGGATGCTTGAGAAATGGGAAATATGAGTTGATATACAAGGGAAGAAGTGAGCAACAAATTGAAAGTGGGGGAGTTGGCATTATTGTCTGTAGTGAGGCATGTTTTGAGATGAAAGAAATGAATGTTGGTGAGAGTGATATATGAGCAATGACTTATTTGAAGTGAAGATGGAGTATGCAACAACTATGAATGAAAGGATGTAATTGATGATTGTTTGTTACATGACTGTGGAGGAAGTACGGTCTGAGTTTATGAACAAAGAAAAATATGCTTGTATTAAGGAAGTGCTTGATGAATACAGCCATGAGATGATAGTTGTTACGGGGGATATGAATGGACATGTGGGTATACTAGGAGAGCCTGTGAACAAGAATATAGGGAGCCTCTGAATCAATTCGTGTTTGAAAAGGACCTTGAAAACCTAAATATAACAATTGCTGAGGAAAAAGTGACCTGGAGCAAGTAAGAAAACTGCTCAGCAATTGATTATATATTAGTGAATGAGAATGCAAGAACAAAAGTGATGTGCATGTAGGTGGATGAAGCTGGTTTGTTTGATATCATAAGTGATCATAATATGCTTGTTACCAAGTTTAAAATGCATGATACGCATGTGAGAGAGCCTGACAAAAATGTATGTGACAAGTGAAAGTTGTGGACTGGGATAATTTTAGTGTGAAACGTACTGATTCAGAATGGGAAGTGACAAAAATGTGAATGGTGTGAAGGAATAACTTGAGAAATGTATGAATGAGGCTACCAGGGTCACATGTACAAGGACCAATAGGAATGTATGTAAAAACCAAAGAAGGAAAAAAATGTTGGAAAAATAATGTGAAAGTGCAAGAGCAGAGCAAATGAGATGCAATCAAATTTGAAGGCAACTGCAGAAAAAGACGAGAGTGGAGACTGTGGACTGGAGTATTAGGAAGTATGGCTGAAGTATAAAGAATAACAGATAAGAACAAAAATTATTATCATTAGAAACCACATTGAGGAGTATGAGCGAAATATGATGACCAAATTTATTATAAGTGGACAGAAAGGTGGATGCAAGTGGTATGCCTTCCTAAGAAGTGACAATAGGGTAAAAGATCTGAGAGTGGATGGGCTGAATGTAGAAGCAGCTAAGAGAACAAGATTGGCCAAAGCTGTGAAAGAATTGTGGGAAGATTTAGGCAAGGTGAATGAGGAATTTGTGCCAAGTAAAAATGTCATCTCACTAGAACACAGTGACCTGAGTGGTATTGATGGGTAAATTACCAATGGGGAAGTGAAATGGATGATGAGCGACTGAAGAATAATGAAGGATGTGTACCTGATGCAAGAAGTGAAAGCTGGTTAACCTTTTTGCAGAAGGGAGGCCACAAGAGGGAGGAGCTTAAAAACTACAGGCCAATTGCTCTTGCTGACATCTGTAGCAACATTTTCTATGCAGTTTTGAATGAGCGAATGCAAATATGTATGGAGTGTGAAAGAGTAGGTACTTGGTGTGGAGCAGAATGGTTTCAGGTGTGACAGAAGAGCAGAAGACAACATAATACCGTATACTATGTGTGAATGAATTGATTGAAAGAATAAAGAGAGATGGAAGGAGAGTCAACTTGACCTGCATATATGTGTAGAAAAAGCATATGATTGAGTTGAATTGGTTTGAGTGAAAAGTCTGTGAGGATAGTTAACAGTAAGTATGTAGACACTCAAACAAATTATCGGCTTGGAGATGTGTGTAAAATCTAATTAATTATTTTTCTTTTAATTTCCTGCTCCTGCCTTCTTCTATTTAGCCTTTAGCTTCCTTCGGCTGTCAAGGGTTATATGAACCACTTAGCTAACTGCAGTATTTAATTAAATTCCGAATCATTTAAAAAATAAATAAAATAAAATGGAGGATGAAGAGCAGGATCTACTACTCAATCGCATAGAGCAGGACATTATTAATTCTTGTCCAAGGTGCTCACATGTCAAGGACATAGTTAAGAAACATGTCAAGGACATAGTTAAGAAATTCAAAAGAGACCGCAGATGTTATAGTGAGTATCAAATTGTTGCTGATTATACCTACAATTGTGTTGTTTGTGTAGACTTCTCTGATAAAGCTCTTATTTTTGAAATATTTATTTAGAGATATATTAGTACCACTATATTCAGAAGTTGAAGAAGGTGCTGTTGACCAAGTCTTTGAATAAAGACCTTTCTCATTGAGAAGCAATTTAGATTTTTTGCAGGTTTTCATCTTGTAAATTGGATGTATTTAATTTTAGAGCTGAAAGACAAGCTGGACAAGAAGGAGTGGCATGGCAACCGCAACAGAGGCACTGTTGCTGAGCACGGTGAAGTGGCACTGCCGCACCTGGGAGGCGGGGCGAGCTTTAGGGGCATGAAGCGTGGCCGTGGCAAGCGCACTTCTGCTCTCTTGGCCGTCAGGAATGTTTCTGCCCCTGGTGAGTGGGGTCTAATTATCCAAACTGGTCCTTTGAGTCAAATAATCATTGATTAATTCCAGAATTTGCAATTTTTCCTTTTTAATTCTTTTCAATCTGTTGTGTTTATGCAATTTAGTGCAAGTTCAGCAATTGATCTGATACTTTCATGTCTCAAGTTATTTTCTGTGTTAAACTGCTAATGGCTTCACTAATATGAAATGTGGTCAAATACCAGCCTGATCCAAGACTTCAATTTTCTTGCAACAATTGGTTTCTGATAAATTGATTCCAAAAGAATGCAAGTTTTGTATTATTTTGGGTTGGCAAGATCTAGAAATGTCTTTCTAATTTTCAGATTTGACTTCTCTTGAAGATCACTCCAGTGTGAGCAGTTATGACGTGCATAAACCTCCACTTTTGAAAGAAGCAGTTCCCGCCGCTGTTGAATTAAATATGCCCATATCAGAAAACTCGGGCACTTCTAATATCTTCCAGTCTCCTAGTTCTGCCCGTGTACAGACCACAACACGCAGAGGTAGAGGTCGAGGCAGAGGAGGAAGCAAAGCAAGAGGGAATCGGTCTAATTTAGGCTCCAGTTCAATGATAGCTGCTGCTGCTATGCACAGTTCTGAAGAGCTCGTCTCCGTGAACCAGGTTAAACCAGCGCAACCTGTTGCATTGCCCAACAATGGTAATGGCGATTCCATGAGCCACTGTGAGGAAATCAATCAAGTGGAATCAATGAAACCAAAAGAAAAAGTTTCCCTGCGGTTGAACAAAATCAGTGGTGTGGATTCCAATGGAATATCGGAATCACAAGCTAAAAAGGATAACTTGGCAGGAGCTGCAGTGAAGGTCGTGGCCTCGACTGGTGACCCTGTGCTTGGTTCAGTTCAAGAAAGGACATCGAAATTAAACCTAAACAGATCTCTCCCACTGTCCTGCAGTTCTACAGATGTTAGCGATACTGTAGCGGTATCACTGACTTCGAACTTCGATTACTTGGAAAATATTCCTGGCTGTGTAGGGGAAGACGAGTTGGTGCCCTCCATACCTATTTCAAATGTAGATAACTTTCCTACAGCTGAGTTTGTAGAAAGTACACCAATAGACTCATGTCATGGCCAAGATTTTCATCATGATTTAAATTTAAGTATAATCAATGATGCTTTTCTAGAGACTATGGGTCCAGGTATTGAACTAGAAACCATTGATGAAATTGAAGCAGCAATGAATACTCAACCTTCCACCATTCCTGCATTCCGCATGACAGAGAAGAGTTTTGAGAGAAATTCTTCTGATGTCAGAAATTTGGTTTGTACCAATGCAAGAGATGTCCCGGATCTACCTTCTGAGGAATCCGAGATCATTAAAGATGATGGATGCAAAAAACGTGCACTTGTTGGTAAATTTGAGCCTTGTAAAACATCTAAACGGTCAAAGACCAGTGACCCACCAAATGCAAGCAAGAGTCGCACTCATGATGGACCCTCCGCGACTGTTATGTTAAGTGCTTGTGAGAATGAAAGAGCAAAATGCTTGAAACCTTCTAGTGCGACTATAAACATAGCATCGTCAGCTGACAGCAACGTGGATGAGAACTCTGCAGATGTCTCTTCACCACCAAGCAGTCCTGTCGATCCAGGCTCTGCTGAAATTGATGGTCAAGCTCCGAGATTTGATATTCAGCATCAGGAGCAATTATCTGGAGGGTCTCAATTGATTGAAAAGCTGAAGAATTTAGAAATTGAAAGTTTTGTGGAGAATAAAAAAATGAAGGCAAAACAGACTCTAAATGAAGACAGTAAACTCGATGGGGCAGGGTTAGGTGAAAACGATCATCTTGTATTTCTGCATCCTGACGGCAAGAAGACGGTCATTAATTTTGTTCCTCAAATACAGTCTGATGGAAAAGCTAAATATCAAATCCCTGACGAAGCCTCGGACAACGTAATGGAAAATTCTAATCGTGAGGCTATGTCAAATGGGGAGAAGATCATTGCAGACGTACAGCCGTCCCCTGTTGGTCAAGCTTTTAGGGCAGTGCCGGTGAAACTGAAGAATTCTTGTAAAGAATCAAAACAAGGCGTGGTCACGGCGAGACAGGCATCACATTCAACAAATGATAGCTTTGAATGTCCTATCTCTAAATCTGCCAAGGCTGTTGCAAAAGTGGGTATGAATAAAATTAAAGATTTTGCTCGTGATTGCAACGGAGACTGCAACCAGAATAATGGAAATGTTACGAAAAATTCAATCCCTTGCATAAGTGTGGAAGGCGGTAAAGTTACTGATCAAATAAATTCGCCTGTTACTGCGTCAGTTCTTGAAATAAATGAAAAAACTCATAAAGACATTTCGATGGATTCCACTTCTTCCATAAGGATTCCATTGTATTACATCAAGTACTTACAAGGCGTGAATCTCCAGCCTATTGTGCGTCTTGTAGACATAGCGCATACCAAGCCTTCAAAGGAAACTGCGCAGTCAAGAGGATCGATTTCGTCTCCTCAGCATCAAGGGAACAACAGCCTTCACTGCCATTCTCAGCCACGCAAAGACAAAAATTTGCGACTGAAGTAAGTTGATTTCAAGATATTGGATGGGCATTCAAATTCTGTAACTGTAGATGACTTTGTTGCAAATGTATATATATATATATATATATATATATATATATAAGCATAGTAGTTGTGTACTCGGATAAAGGGGTTGGAGAAATAAGGGAAACACGTAACATTTTTATATCGTAATTTTCAAACTTGTTATAAACAATGAAAACTTGGATTATTTGCATATTTTATGGATGCTACTAATTGATATTTTATCCTTGCATAGATATTTTTCGTAAATTTTTGTGTCTATGACCTAACCTATAAATGGCAAACCTCTCCGACTTTCGAAGAGGCCAAATTGCTGGTGCCCGTATGGCAGGTGTTGGTGTGCGACAGAGACGATTATTTGATGTTTCTAAAGGTACTGTCTCAAAAGTAATGACTGCTTGTGAAAGAGAAGGGAAAACGTCTTCAGAAAAGCACAGGTCTGATAAAGACCGTTGGTGAATAAATCTAATTGTGAGGGACAATCGAAAGACCTAGATTACTGCAGACCTAATTGAACACCTACAAAACCCAATTTCCAAATAGACTGTCCACCGAGAGCTGCTTAGATCTTGATTCTATGAGAGTTGCAATTAGAAAACCTTTGGTTTTAAATACAAATGCTTCAAATCGTTTATAGCGGTGTAAAAACATCCAGAATGGGGCTCTCATCAATGAAAAATGTGATTTTCTCTGACAATTAATCATTGTTTACCTTATTTCCAACCTCTGGCCGAGTTCAACGTTTGGAGAGGATTAGAAAAGGGCTGATAAAGGGTTAAACTAGGGTCCAACTGAAAGAGGGCAGAAGATGGTTTAATTGAAAAACAGGTTAAAATTCCTTTGAAAATCTTCACAATTTCACGAATCAATGCCTCGAAGAATCGAGGCTGTAATTGCCGCAAAAAGTTGGCCTTACACCAAACTAAAATATATTTTGTGGACTTTACTTTGCAAGTCCCATAGTTATTTTTAAAGAAAATGCGATCGTCCCTTGATTACCGTATCTTGAAACATTACTAAACTGCTTTCCACTATTTTTTGTTCCATATCGTGTTACCATGCGATTTCAATCCCAATTCACAGTCCAAGTCTGTTGGTCTGAATGCAGGAAAAAGTTATTTCTGTTTTTTTTTTCATGCACGTCAATTTCCATGTCTAGAAATCTCTTATTCTTTTTATTCGAATTATTATTTTGGCTTCAACTATCCCTACACACGGTTGTACTTTTTCATGAGAAAAATTCCATGGGACATCATGACTACATTCAGATCTGAGAAAAAAAGTTGCTTAAAGAAATAACAGTAGCAGGTTAAATCGGTCAGCTTTCTACGCTTCGTACTAAACTGAATAATTAGCGTTTAGCCCCTTTGTTGCGAGTATTTTTGAATAGCAGACGACAAGAAGTTTAGCCATCTCATTTTCTGAGATAAATATCTAACCTGTTACCCATTACTTGGTGATACAACATTGGTAAACATTGTGTTGCTCTCACAGAGAGCGGAGGCGCCTGACGCTGGTGTGCACGGGGCTGACGGCGGACGAGACGCGCACGGTCTGCTCGCTCCTCAAGAACTTGTGCTGCTCGAGTGCCGGTGGTGACAGTAGCAAACCCAGGGGCGAGATTCTCAAGACCTGGGTCCCTGGTGTCACTCACGTTATTGTCAAGTGCGTGGATAGGACAAAAATTCTTTATTTCCACGCACTTTTCACGCAAAAATTCTTTATTTGCATTTTTTATGAATAATCGATGATGAAATTTTGCACGTCCCAGGAACAGTTTAATTCATCTGATGGAACCCTCTGCGATTACGAGTTGAAGATAGATTTCATAAAACAAGCTAATCCTTCTTTACATTCCTGGTTAATTGTTCTTTCTAGTTAGCTCATTTCTTAATTTTCAGTTACACTGATTATGCTGGTATATTGAAATATTTGATCTTTTTAGAGCGGTAGTTTTCTCTGCGTCTTCCTGATACGCATATTGTAGTTGGTTAAAGCCTCTTACGGCTTTAATATTATTTTAATATTTTTAACTTGTCTCATTCGTTTCGGACTTAAATATTGCTAACATTATCTGTATAAGGAATGTGAATGCCTACTGAGTCTATATTACCTCGACTTTAGAGTTCGCTGTTAATACCGATATTGGTCTGTAACTAAAATGTTTCGATGATGCAGATGTGGGGCGGACAAAACGACAGAGCGTACATTGGAGTACCTGTACGGCGTGGCCTCCGGCTGCTGGGTGCTCAGCTACCAGTGGGCGTTGAGATCCCTGCAAAAGGGGCGCCTGTTGCCTGAGGTGACCATCAGCATCTCCTCCTCTTACACTTATTACTTCTTCATTAGTCCCTCAATTCTCCAAGTATTTGATTCGGTTTCTATTTCTTCAATTTCTGCTGTAAGGATCCCTTCTTTATGAAGCAACCTTAAGCATGTCTTTCTCTTGAGCGCCCCATACACTTGCTGTTACGTGTCCGGCTGGTCGATTCTAACTCGTGACCCCAATTCGGTGATTCTTCACCTTACCCTTCTCGTGCCTAGCCCGACCGTACAGGTGTAGATTTGAATGGCCAAACAATGAGATGCTACAATTTACAGCTTACCTTTTTTTTTTTTGGTCTGCCAAAAATATTTAACGTCGGTGAGCCATGTTCTTTGGTTTAGCTATAAACAAGAAACTGCTTGATTTTCAGATTAGGCGCCATACACTGGCGGATCTGATAGGTTTATAGTAGAACCGAGATTAACTCGCGGGTCAGACTACAGTGTAAGGGGGCCCTTAACAATGATGGATCAATATTCAACATATAAACACTGTTAAATAATGCCAAGAAGTATTTTGTTAAAAGGTAATAATTATTCATGATAATGAATGAAATGGCATCAACAACAACTGTGCTTTTCTTTTGAACGATAACTGAGCTTAGCTGAAATCCGGTGTAGAATTGACTAACATTCAATCTTCACTCATGATGATATTTCTAATGTTTGATTACTATTTGTTCTAACATAATTTGTATCACATATACCGGTATATGTTTACAAGGAATGTCGTCTCTGATCTCTTAATCCTCTATATAAGGTTGTTATTAATATCCATATTAATTATTGGCAGAAATATTTCTTGTTTCACGATTTTTATCCAAAAATGGCCGATTTACATGCAGTTTTTCTAATGTAGCGATGAATGAAATTTGTTCATGATCGTCACATTTTGAATATATCTCATCATTAAATCCATTTCTCAATCAATTCAGATTGAATAACTTGAATTTTTGTATGATTATACACGAGTTTTCATTGGTCGACTTCATGTACCTTGATCACGAATTCAATGTGTTTTAAAACGAGTTTTGATACTGACGGTGTTGACCTTTGACCGAAAAAACATATTTCGTTAACTTGTTTCATTGATGCAGGTTTCATTGAAGACCAGAGAGTATTTCTTATTGACAATTTTCTTATTGTTTTTCTCTATTCGGCGAATTAGGCTCTTGATGGGAAGTGAAAATCCAAATATCAGGTTTCCAAGGGACATTTTATTATAATTTTACGACGTTTTGAATGCAACTTCATTGATTATCAAGTATAGGAAGAGTTTCGCAACAACTGAATTTGAAATTTTGAAATTACATTAGTACATTGTTTCATTGATTGATTGTGGCTGTGGGTTATGACAATTATTCGGGGCTTGAGATAGTCAGAACGTTATGACTTTACTCCCTGATTTGTAATACTCATGGAATTATTGACAGAAACCCTTCGAGGCCCTGGATTCGACCGGCTGGGCGGGACCAGCGCGCGGTCGGCTGCTGTGGCAGGAGAGGCGCCTACTTCAGGGCTGCGTCCTTTGCTTCCTGGAGCCCTTGGGGAACTGGTCTCTGCAGCAGTTCGTGGTGGGCTATTCCCAAGTATATTTTAGTTTACTGCTACCTAGAAGTGAATAAAATGTTGAATTTTACAGTATGATACCTTTATTTGTAATTATTAATGTGATAAATATTGTAAAAATCTCTGAACATGTTCAGCTACAACTTGAGAACATTATTTTAAGCACGTCATTAGAAGAGTGTAGTAGAATATTGCGAATTAACAGCGTTACTATTTCTCATGTTGGAACCTTAGGATCTGGTGCAGTTGTGCGGAGGGCAGGTGACTAAGGATGGAGCTCACCTCAAGACGTTCCCACCACCTGCAGCAGGTGCCCATCACCAGCTGCGTCTGATCGTCATCAACACTTTTGGAAGGAAGAAAGACAACATCCTTCGGGCTAAGAGTGAGGCGCAAGGAAGAATTCTGTTGATATTTGCGCATAGCAGATATAAAATTTTTGCTACGGCTTAGGAAGAGGGGAAAGAACAACTGGTGCACTGGGTGGTCAGATAGAGTAGAGGCATGTCCTCTGAAGATGCCTTTTTTCACCCCTTTTTATAGCTCGAGTGGTGGAACTGCATGGTTTCCTATTCTTATTAGGGCTGTTCTATGGTGTCAGGTAGCGTTAATTTTTTTGCGAAGGACGGGTAGAGGTTGAGTTGTATTTTTTTCTATGCAAGCCCACGACGATGATTTTATTAATTTATTTTTTATGCAAAATCGCATGATTTTGTTACTAATGCACGACGATGCTTTTGGTGTGTCGGAAATCTCGTTGGTCGGTGAGAGTTTGGTTTAACACTCTTCCTAAACCGCGTTGTTTTACAAGTGTGTTGTGGGGTGTTCGTATTATATGGTTTTTCGTTTTTGTCTAGAGTTATTTCGTCTTTTGGGAAATAGACAGCGAAGATGAAGTGATGGAATATGTACATCAAATTTTGGTTAAGTGTTGGAGGGTTGCGATGCCGGTGGGGCCTATTGTATCTTGTTGGAATAGTTTCAGTGTCCGATCAAGTTCTCTAGTGGTCATGGATGGGAAGTCCACTGGATGGAGGCGGTCGAAATTGACGTTTTTGTATGAACGTATGAGCTGCGTGTTGCTGTTGACATGTGTTTCTGTGCGTGTGTTTCAATTCTGGAGCCATAAGTACCCCCATGCGTTGAATCCATTATCAAGTTCTTTTAATATCGGATCAAAGATATTTAATCGTTCAGTTGGTAGCCTCGGGTTGATTTCTTTTGTTCACATGGTTCACAAGGGGGTTTAGTTGGTACAAAGGCGCAGGAACTATAAAGTGAAATAAGGAGTTCTTCATTTCAGGTCTGAGCAATAGTTACGGGTTTTCGGTGGTCGACTCTGCATGGCTGGTCGCAAGCGTGGCGATGTACTCGCTGGTTGCTCTCTCTCCGTACCTCCTCTCACCACCCGACGCGCCTCTCCTGAAGGCCTCTGGTATCTCTATGCAGCTGCAGCAGGACACCCAAGATTTCGTGTAGCTCAAGAGCTGCTCTACGTGTGCATGCACACCTGCTTGCGGTCTCGGGTGTCTCCACGAAGCTGCAGCAGGACACCCAAGATTCCGTGTAGCTCTTCAGCTGCTCTGCATGTACACGCAATGATCCTAGAGGCTTCGTTTGCCTCCACGCATCTGCTAAAGGACAATGGACTTGGTGTAGCGCGTCGGCGCTCATGCTCAGCCGTGTACTGCTTCTTGTATACTTCGTGCTCGTTGAATATATGCGTGCCGTATTATGCGTGACATTTCGCGTTCTAGTCACAATGGAATTTAAATCTTCAGTTTTTGAAGGCTTAATTGTGTTCAGTTATCCATTTTATGTTGCAGCACTCTTAGGAGGTTCAGTTTCCGCGCTCGTACGCGTTACACGAGTGTAGCATGAAACGCGTTTTGCTTCATGATACATTTGTTTCTTTCAATTCAGCGGATGTAGTTGTTGTCATTCACCTTTCGTTAAAGAATTAAGAATTAGGAAGACGCCAAGCGTCTCCCCGCAGTTACTGAAGGATTCCTATTATGTCGTGTGCACGTACGAAAGAATACACGTGTCACAAGCGTGACTGTTTAATTATAGGCACAGAATTTTGTGATCTTCCTTTTATTTTACAGTCAACTGCCTTTTTTTTATTCTATACTATCATATTTTACGTTGTTTGATTTTATAGTCCGGACAACCGTGTTTTAATGATGTAGTAGCCTCGTTTCCTCTAACTCAGCGGACATAGTTTGTTGATTTTATTGGAGGTTGATCACTATTAATAAAAATTGTTTCTAGTTTGTTCTCAGTTTTTGCTCTTTGAACCTTTTCTTAAAACCTTATGAAGCAGCCTCTTGTATTCCAGTGCCATCATCGAACTTTGCTACAAGTGCACCGCAGTATCGAAAGTTTCTCCTTACGTAAGGGGCTTCACGTCTTTCATTCATTTAGTTGGCAGGTCGGTACGCTGTAATGGCCCATGTACCTCCTTATCGGTCTGCATTGGTTCTACTGTACCTGCATTCGGTGTGATTATTAAGCGGTCTGACAAACGTTTAGTGGTTTTATGAGAGACAATAAGGACCTCTGCCAGAATACACGTAAATCATTAGGGAAAAGTTAGAATGATAAATACTAGGGCAACACATGAATTTGAGCTATTCAAGACGTAATACAAAAGCTCGAATGCTCCCATAGTAAGCTCAAACCTCGTCCATGATCTTCAAATGGTAGAAACGTTTATATAAGAAGGCATCATCGAATTAGGCAGAGAAGTACGTGGATGTTCTAGGTACGTTTCCTAAAAGATGAGAAGACATCGTCCAAATACCCGGATATAAGCACGTGAAATTTATAGATCGTACACTTTGCTACTGCCATTCAAATGACGTTGAAACGACGTTCAATTTTCGAGCCGCGGGTCCCCTTGAGGGTGATGATTAAGTTGAGATTTTTCATAATTGAAACCCTCCGTCTTTCTGGCGATGTTATCTTTCGACCGATGAGAAATAGCTCGATAGCTGAAGCGCTAGCAAACCATTGTACTACAACTACTTAATTTCCGAATAAATAAATATTGCTAATAAATAACAATACTAAAAAACAAATTAATCAATGAATAAATTAATCACCAACAATCAACGTTATATCAACGTCGTGCAGATGCTATATGCATGAACGATAGGAACTGCGTAAAAGTTTGTTATCGCAAAGTTATCCACGTAGATGTTATCTGACCTCATTGTTCCTGTAAGGAAGAGATTACGAATGATTCGTCCTAGGTTCAGATCCACTTATTTACACAGGCCTGAAAGTTAATGGATATACCTTAATGTTTACGTACTTGCATGAGTATTTTTTTATATCTACGCGTTTCTAAGAAAGACATCCGCACTTTAACTTAATAAGGAGAGAAAATAAGTTGAAGCGAACTCGTCGTTGAGCTTCCATGCAATCATGGCAAGCTTCAGCTCCTGCCGCCCTGCGAGGCTTCCGTCCGATGCTGTTTTTTATGATTGCTTGTCATGTCAAAAAAAGTTAGAAAGTTGTCTCGAACTGCACGTCATGTAGGAATAGCATAGAAAGTTGTCTCGGACTGCATGTTAGGTATGAATAGCATTGCAGACACTGCTGGTAATCAGAGACAAGCAAGATGACTGTCAAGCGAGTTCTTGAGACGGAAGCATCGCGACGTGGATGATCTGGTATCCTTGATACGCCGTCGAGCATCGAATTATTCTGCAGCCTCAACCATGGCCTCACCTGCCTGGCTCAACCCGCGCTGGTTGGGTGGCAGGGTTTTAGTCCAAATACGGTAGGCTTTTTACAACTGTTTTATTTCTTTATTTTACTTTCAATATGGCAGGTCTAGTGCCAATTTTTCCCTTTTTCTACAATGAAGCAATGACCGTAGTAAGATAACCCGCTACATATAATTTTGAACCCCTTGTCGATGCATATATTAACCCTTTTACACTTTATTTATTGGTGAATGTTTTTACACCCATTAAATTTATTTAATTTGCACGCGGTATTGAGTAGCTTGACACGTATTGTTCCGCTGAAGAATGCAAGCCGCTTGAGATAGGTAGTTTTTCTTTTATTTTTGGAAGGTCTGTAAATACCCAAAATAATATAATGCTATGAGATTTGCTACATCTAATTTTTCGGTGGAGAATATTTTATTCTCCTGAATTGTACTCAGCAGATGTGATTTTCCATTGACGTTTTGAGTCCAAGCATTTGGCGACTGAATTTAATCAGTTAGACATTTCACCGCTGCAGCAAGGAAAAAATCACTGGCTGAACCGGAAATTATTTCGAGTGAAAAAGTAATTCACAGCTCCACGTTTTGGATTACCGAATTTGCTTTGCACAATGCCCACGTTTTGGTCAGTGTGAGACAGCATAGGCTGCCTGCGCACGACGACTGCGCAGTGACTACAAGACGGTACTTCGTCGTCTACAATACGTTTGATCTAATCTTGGCAGGACCTCTTCAATTGGTTTGTTCTAACACTGAATTAAATGCTATGAAGTTGTAAACACGGCAGGCAAACTACGGACTTTCAGGCTGTCAGACGGCGACGCAACCTAATTTGCTCTCTCGTAAGCGATGTCATAGCGACTCTTTTCGAATGCTCGGCGTCTTCCATCCGAAATTTGATATTGCATTCCATTGGTTGGGGTGCGTGAGAGAAATTGAATGGACGTGGTCCTTGGAGGCTGCCTCAAACCAGAAATTTGGTCTATGTGCGGCCCGTGTGGAAGGTCTGTTTTTCCCCATAGTGTTCATGCAAACAAAAACCAATAAATTGGAATAGGTTGGTTATGCTAAAGGCCCGTGGATGCTGATGATGTCTCCGATAAGTTCCGAGGAGCGATGAACATGTGTGTATACTATTGCTCGTCTTGGTATATTTTCCCTGATTTGTTTTGCGAAATACCTAATTCGTATCATGTTTCTATGTGTTTTTTCATTTGAATGGAATCGCTTATGTTCTGTCACTAGTAAATTATTGGTGAAAACTTCAAGGAATAAAATAAGTCTCTCAGTTAGTTCCGATAAACAAATTTATTCCTGTAGATATGATGAACTGAAACTCGTTTTCTAATCTAACCGTTTTCGTGCAAGCCTCGCCGTTGAATTTCGGTTTCGAAAAACATTACGTATTATTATTTCAGAAGAACTAAATACTGAGCTGTCACGTCAACTTGTTAAATATTTTAAGTTAATTAATGGTCGTTTAGGGTGCCTTGTTTAATTAACAATAATATTTGAACACTCACGCTACGACACCATTATTGTTCTGTATTGTGAATACTTCGCTGCCGGCTAACAAAAGAGATTAACGATCCCAAACTGAAAAAAATTCGACTCATTGTCTGAGAATAACAGCAGTCTCTATTCACTATCAACGTAAGTTGAGAACTTAACCTCACCCCAGGATTATTTTTATCGTGATGAATATGAACAAGAATGCTCTGGAAATGAATAATTTATCATAGATGCGTCAATAGCTAGCTTATCATGAATCTTGAGACACATTGTTGCTCGGCAAGTAAGGCTTTTTATCGAGTTAATTTCTGCACCGAACTGAGGTGAAGGATTAAGGCCATGTTCAATCTCTTCAATACTCCAGTCACATACCAAATTTTAGGTCCGCATGCAATCTGACTATTTTTTCGAGTCATATTACTGGACAGGCATTCTTCGTGATTATTTATAGTCACGAATATAAGATAAAATTTTACGGTAACTTCCCAGACGTTCGTCGCTTGCGCATGATGTACAAATAAACGATAGATGGATTTCATTATGACTTTACTGAATAAGAAGAATTTCTTTTTTCTCTCTCTCTCTCTGCAAAACCTGTGTTAAACATGCGAAGCCTCAACTATGTGTAAAGTTTCCTTGTGCTGTTCGGAGTAGATTTAAAATGCATTTGTAATGCATCCTGATTTTAGCTTCCCCCAAAGGTTAGTTTGAATTCATTCAAGAATGCCTCTACCTCCAGCCGGACTCGGGTCATTCAAAATTGAAAAAACTTTCCGTTATAAAATTGTACTGGGCTTGACCGGGATTTGAACCCGGGACCTCTCGCACCCTAAGCGAGAATCATACCCCTAGACCATCAAGCCACAACAGCATGTGCGTTACCTAATATTATAAATTTGGAGAATACTGGACTATTCAAGGTATAAATCCAGTGATTGATAGGCAGGAATTGTAATGTAGAAATAAAACCGTCGTCTGTTGAGGCAAAATAGTTTATATTATTACTAGTGAAAACCCTACAACAAATGCTTATTATTGTGCTATGGTATCAACGAATCATGCACGCCGAAGCACAGCTGACTGGCGCCGTGTGGATCCCGACGTTCTCACAATCGTTATCAATACTTAGCAAATGCGTGGCCATTCCGTGTTGTGATTAGTGTGGAGGAGTATATATCTCCTGTGAAATAGTGCGAGTAGTATTTATCTGTGATTGTATTTATTTCATTCACTAAATATTAAACTCGTCGAATATCACTCAATAATGAAATAAAAGCTTGCATGTGGTAGATGCCAATATGTAAATGAGAAAGATATGAGGTTTTTAAAGGGCAGCTACTCATGGAAATTATGCGTACTAGAAAGCTACCATCTTTTATTTTCGTGTTTTAATGTTGTTCGTGTATTTATCAATTGATAATTAACCGAACGTAATGTTGTATCGATTTTGTAACGTACCTAAAGGAATAAGTTTTAAAAATTGTTAATTTGATTAAGGGTGTATTTCCCTTCCGAAGTAAACTTCTTCCGAAGGATGCTAAACCTTTTTGATTTTGTAATGCTAATCTGATACGACTGCAGCTGCTAGTTTACAACCGAATAGTTTCAAAATATCAATGAAATTAGCATGAAGCATTAATATCGTCGTGGATTCTCGCAATATTATGCAAATTGTTGCCCTTACTTTGGCTGTGACAGAAGACGACCGCCCACGCAGGCCAGCTATCGCACTATCCTGAGATCTGCTCCATACATCACTGTTGTGCATCGCTTCTTCTCTCTGCCCCTTCTCTCACTATTTTGCTATACATCTCCGTAAATATCGTTGTTTTACTGTGACTTAAGATATTGTTCTTCGTTTTTTTTCCACGGAAATGCATAATATTTTTTATCCCTGTCTTCTTCTACCTAGGCATTTTTCTCATCAAGGATTCTTAAACTGATATTTTGTACAGTGAAATAATTATTTTCATTATTATTCTTCCAATTAAATCTTGATTAGCAAGTAACAAATTTCTAGCGTTTG